TTATTTCTTCTTTTTCATTTTTTTCCATTTTCAATTTTTTCTTGATTATTTTTCATTGGCCTCCTCTACAATTGATTTCACTTAAAAGATGCACTTATTACCCCGCAAGTTTGTTTTAATTATTATTGACATGCTATTATCGACATATTTCAATGTTTAAAAAAAAACTCTAATGAAGTTTCACTTTTATTTTAATTTTACTACAAATCTCAGAACATTACTTCTCCCTTCCTACCTGAAACTTGTCTTCCTTTTTACCTCGACAATGCTCCTATTCCGCGAACAGATACATTGCGATTTCTTGGATTTACGTTTGACATTAAAATTACAAAGGTTAAACGTTAGATTACAACTAATATACTCCTTTCAAGGCGTTAAAAATTAGAACTAAAGCAGAAACTGAACACTTAAATTTACTTGTTAAACACATTTGGACCTAGGAGTCACAGATATACGGGGCAGCCAAAAAGTCCGACATACGTAAACTACAAACATGCCTGTCAAATACTTTCAGAGCTATAACCAAAGCTCCATGTTACGACACAAGAATTACTTTACATAAAGTGCTAAATATACCTACATTATAATTATTTACGGAAACACTACTAAGGATTTCACAATAGCTTACACGGACATATTAATACACCTATTACTTCTTTATTTTTACCAACATTAAACTTACTGGTTGTCAATATTACTGATAGGTATGGGTGGATAAATGAAAATAAAAAAATAATTATTCAAGCGTGTTCCTATGCTCCAGGTATTGGGTTCGAATTTAGCTATACGTGTAATAATTTATTCTGCTTCATCAGTCATAGATCGATCCTGGATTCAGAAGACCCTACTGGGGCACACCCAGCCTGTACAAAATTGGTGCTCTTAATTAAATAGTTACTGATAAGAAATAATTACTGAGGAGAAAAATCTGATTATTTATTCAATTGTTGCGGGTTCATTAGTATTTGACAATGATTAGGTTTTCATTTTTAGGCTTCATCAGAAATTAGCAAAATAAGATGAATAACTACATTGGATTTTAGTCCTAAAAAATTTGACTTTTTGAAATAACTCGACCATAAGTTTTTATACACCATTGTATTTTTATTTTACATTGTACATTTACTCAAATATAAATTTCTCAATTTTTTTTTCGGAAATTCCAAGCGTGTAAAAATAAGAATTAAAAAAGAAAATAATCAGACAGGTTCCTGAAGGCCTAACATTGTTTGGTAAAGTAGTGTTACACAATTGCCTTGCTAGAAAACTTTGTTGGACTAATTAACAACTTGGGATCTGCTTACTCCAACATGTTTAAGAAACTTAGGGGCCTTTTACTTTAATCCTATGCAAAGCAAGCCTTTCTTCCTTTTCTGAAAACTAATATTAAGTGGGAACTTTGCACTTAATTTAAATTTTTCCAAGCCCTTGGAAACTTTTACCAGGAAATACATTAAAGAACAATGTGCTTAGTAGCATCATATAAAAAGACCAGTAAGTAATTCATCGATGGTTTTCTCAATTCACATAACAATATAAGATCCATTATAAAACTTGAGATAAGGTTGGAAATCGAAAATATCTGTAAAAAAACTAATCTGAAGTTCAAAACCATGACTATATTGGCCCAAATGCTGAGACGAGTCTTGGTCTTGCAAACTCAGTCTTGGTCTTGCAAAAGTCTTACAGTTACCTATTAGCTTAGTACTGCAGAAATATCACTGTATTTTTTCAGATAAGGGAAATCCAACTAAGCCCGAATGAAAAATTAGAAGAGTTAAATGCAAAAGTATATTGGTTGCAACAATTCTTTACATATACTATCTAAAATTGTCAAACATTAGTAACTATTTTGCCTTAATTTTTATTCAAAAATCGATTTTTTTTTTATCAGTCTTGGTGTTGGTCTTGCAACAGTAAGGCGGTCTTAGTCTTGATCTTGCAAAGTGCAAGATCAAGACTGATTTTGGGCAACAGTAACCACAAAATTGTCATGCTATACATATTTTTTGTTGTAAGCATATGATGTCGTATCCTACAGTGCAGTTTTATAATCTAAAATTTAACTATGTTTTATAATATTAATCAGACAGGCTGTTAATCTAGGATTAACTAAGTCATTCTATAGTTAACGTTTACAAGAAGATAGAAAATACCATAATCCTGCTTATGGAAAGTTAAGACTACAAATAATTTATTCATTCATTAACAATAGCTTCCTATATCATATTATTATTAATATTTCCACTACAATCCAGATAATTTATTTTTATTTTATTTTTTTACTCTCATCTGTCAGAAGCACCGTCGCAAAGTGGTAGAGAGCGGCAAAAACTCCTATTTTCGAGGTGCTTTGATAATTCATTTTTTTATGTTTTTAATCTCTGGCATAATTAACTCATATATTTCTAAAGTTTAGGCACGAATAAAAATACTAGTTTCCAAGATTTTCAATAAAATATAAATAAAAAGCCAGTTACTACCACATTAATAATGCAACATGTTATAAATCATTAAATATATTTCAGGCGTTTTCGCTGAATTCTCTACATATTTTCTGTTGTATAATTTCTTGAAATGAGTCAAATAAGTTCTAAAAAAAATCATTTTTTAATAAATTCAAACATTTTGTATTTTCATTGGATAATTTATCACTCAACGGGCACTGAAATTTCGTTTTTCCATCGGAAAGGACCTCGCGCCAACGACCGCCAAGGTCTTACTGTAATCAAAATGTTCTTTGAACCAGCTAATGATCAAAAATCAGCTGCGACAATTTGAGATTTTGGTAATTATCTGGCAAGAAATTATCAAAAACGAGGAAAAAAAAATCTTACCATTATCCAAATAAATGTATACCTAATATCATTTCTTACCTTCATAGAAAAAATGAGAAAAAGTATAGCAAAAAAAAAAAACTGAAAGAAAATACGAAGGAAAAGAATGAAGAAACTCAAACAATTTCGCGACTCATCATGTATTTGGTTTTATCCTTATTTAGTTGAGGGTTCTTTTGCTCTTCTTTTCTTATGAATATTCACAATTGATTTGGTCAATAACCTTATACAATAAATTTTCATTTTTACAACATATTACATGCGAAATATATTTATTTTTCAAAAAAAAAATAACAACAATAATAACGGTTGTTTGTGCGCAAATGGTTTTATTGTATATTAATTCATAATGCCTGAATAAAATAATTCATAATACTTCGGGACGACTTGCGAGGGTGCTGTCGGGAAGTATGTCTTTTCTAGAGCAATGAATGAAGAATCCCTAGCGTCATCATCCCTTCCTATCTTCATTATAATGCTTATAGTTAGCGAAAGAGATCCTCCATTCAGCTTCTTTTGAGCCACCTATGTTACTGTCGTATCAGGGAGCTTTGGTTATAATCCTAAAAGTTTTTAATTGAAAAGTTTGTAGTTTACCTATCTTGGCTGTCCCGTAAAGGTCCAAATTGGCTGTGGGAGGGGAGGCCAAACGGGCTAACGTGTGTGCACAGCCGTTGCCTGGCAACCTGATATATGATACAAGTCCAAATTGGCCTAATTAAGTAAGTGTATGTATTTACTTTAAGTCTAATTTGTAATTTCAACGTCTTGAAAGAATCAAAATTAAAATATAGTATATCTATTTTTTTATTTATACTTTAACGTTAGTCATTATCTTCCAACTAATTACAATTGCAATAGAAAAAATATTTTAGTCAAGTCTCTTAGCCTAGAAAAGACAAAAAAAAATACAATTTAAAATATATACCTAAAAAAAATAGATATATATAAAATATATGAAGCATATTAAAAGTTCCCAAGGATACGGGATATATGAAAAGAAGTCGAAAAAAACTACCAAAATTCTCAGTTGGAAGATTCTATTTATTTTAATTATTTCCAACTAAAGCGCTCTCGCTCAAACTCAACTGGATTTAGCACCAGTGACGCGGTTAATAGAGTAGCACAGGGATCTCTTGGAGTCCTGGTTTTCTTTCTATAGTTGGATGGAGAAGCCTGGCTTGGGGTTTCCTGTCTAATTGTATCTATTGTATATAAGTATGACTGTGTTTTTATGTTTTTAATTTACTTATCTTTAGGTTATTTTATTTTTTATGGTACATAGTTTTTGATTATTATTTTAGGTTTGTTAATTTTATATTTTCTGTATATATGGTGTGAATGTGTTCTTATATTATATAATCTATTGTCCACGTGACACATTGTTATAATTCCAAATAAATAAATACAATTATTTCCGAGAAAATGGAACGCCAACATTTATTTCTGTATATATTATGTTTTGTGGGATCTGAATGATAAAAATATCTTCTCCCTTACCAATTGAAAGTTCTTCTCTCATTAATTTTTAAATGATACAAACAAACATTATAGATCGTGAGTTATCGTGTTTAGCTATAATCGAATTTTTTTTAGTGCATCGATAAATGAAAGGTAATAAATTTGAACATAGCGAGTTTAGATTTAGGGCTCCATTAAACAAGAATATGAAATTTTTTGATAAGAAATTGAACTCTATAAATCACATCATAATTATCTATAAAGTACTTGATATACTAAATTTTTAGATGAACTTGAAGGAGAGCATGTACATCCATATTAGCTCTAATAATATATAGAAATTTTACTCTAACCCTAGTTCACTTGTCTCTAATTTTCTTATTTTAGAACTATCCCAAAAGTATCCCTTTAAAATCATCACGTGGGATTTATTGTTTTAAGATTTTATAAAACATTTTCTTAGTGTTGATCTACAGTTTTTATCAAAATAGTGAAAAGGAGAACTGAAAATGTATGCTTATTTCTTTTCTTTAATTTTTCAAAACTAATTTTCCTTTATTTTAGAAAAGTTGATGCAGATATATTTAATATAAGGTTTGATTATTATGGAAGTAGAAAATTAGTTACAACAAATTAAAGTAAAAAGTTCAAACATTATTATTAAAATATAAAATGTCTAAATAATATAATGATATCTCTTACTTGCTATAGAATTCCTTTCCGGTGTCGAACAGTATATTTCTCCGTAACACTCTGCCTCAACCAGTCACCTAAAAATAAATTAAAATGACATTGATTTCAGTACGTCAAAAAAAAAAAAAAAAAATTAAATAAATAAATGGTCTGAAATAGTTACTTTATTTTTTAATATGGTTCTAAAAACATCTTACTTTATCTTTATTCAACTTCAATGTTCTTACCTGCTGCCTACTTATTTTGCTACTATAATTTATTTATGTGTATGATTCTATTTTTTAAGTACATATACTATTTTGCATTAATATTATTATTAATTATTATATCTTATTATTATTTTTAATTATCCATTGCTATTGCTCTATAGTATGTATACATTGTATGAATGAACACCTAGCTCCTATACTTGTTCGATATGGCAGGTTTGATTCTGGTAGAATTCCGAATAACTTGAAATATGATTTTAGTCTTGTGATACTACTGCTCAATATTTTTTAAGCAATAATATATAATTTATTCAATATAAATGGGTAAAATACATTACTCAACAGTGATTTGGGTAAAAAATTTAAAACCAAAGTAAACCTTCTCTTTCGTCCTTACTTTATGTTATTGTGTTAAGAATAATTATAATAAAATTGGAGTATCTTTTGTTTTTTCAAAGAATTAAATAATTAATGGTTGTGCCTCAGGAATCGGGATTCCGTAAAATCTTATAACAGCCTTAAAATTATTAATAGTATGTTGGGAAATCAGTCAAAAGTTATATTTATTTTATAAATATTTAAATGATTTCACTTTGTTAAAAATATTCATTTATGAATAGTTAAATAAATCAGTCAAAAGTTATATTAATTTTATAAATATTTCAATGATTTCACTTTGTTAAAAACATTAATTTGTGAATAGTTGTAAACAAAAGTTAAAAAATTCTAAAATCTCGTTTGTAAGGTTTGTGTTGAAATAAAAGTTAGTTTATTTCAATTTTAGAGTACTCAACTTTATTTTATTTGAACCTAGGGATCATATAAAATGGTTAGTTATATATTGCCCCCTACCCCGAACAATAATGATATTGTTCATAGCTTGAATAGGTAGGTGATGTTTGATTGAAGAGTTTGGGATGCAATTAACTGATAGGACACACGTGGCATCGGCATACGTGCTGATGACAGTGTTAGAATGGGTACGTCAGCTGTATAAACTGTGTAAAGGATAGGACTTAGGACACTACCTTGGGGAACAACAGCGGACTGGGAAGAATTAAAATTATGGAAGATATAATGTAATAATGTCTAAAAAAAAAGTAGAATTATCATTTTATTTCTGGATTTGACAATGATTGCTTGCTACCTTATCTAAAATATATTTAGATAAATGATTGACGATTCTTTTTTAGAAAACAAATGAACACAATCGTTTGGATAGACTTTCAGATATACCACCAAGTAGTCCATAATTGGTCGATCACAATTTAAAAACCGATTTCTGACATTCATTTAGAGCTACAGTTTCTTATTCAGTGAAAAATATATCCAATACGATAAAACGAAATACAATGTTTAAAAAAAATATATAAGAATAATTTTAACTGTTCAAGTTTTGATTTCAAAACATAAGCAACAAAGTAACTTGTAACTGGTAACTGGGTTAATAATTTAAGAAAACAGAGGCTGAGAAACTTTGGTACAAGACTGTGTAGAAACACAAACCCACTAAAACACAGAAACTTCCACCTCCGACAAACGCAACACATCTCATCAACCTATTCTCGATTTAAAGCTAAAATTTAATAAGGTAAATGATAAAGGTCACACGAAATAATATCTAAGCAATTTGGAAAGGGTATTATAAATAGAATGTAATGGAATACAAAATAATATCAAAATAATTTAAAATGTATATATTTAGAATGATATTGAAAAAAATGTGCATTAAATGCATTATTTATTTATTAATTAATGTAATGTAAAAATATCCGATCAAATGAAAAAAAGGGAATGTGAATAAATTCATTAAATTATAATTAACACCGTTTTTATCTGTCCTAAAGCAGGTATAATTTTTTGCAGTTTAAATTAATAAAACTAATAAGAATTGTTAGGTATATGCTTTGCTCGACCAATTTTTTTTTTTCATATCTTCTTATTTATTTATATTTTGATTTGTTTTCAGGGTGTCTTAGAATTCTCGTTTTACTGAATATTGGAATTTTAAGGAGATAGATGACTCCATTATTATCTCTGTCCTCAATACTTTAACAAATGTTTAGAAAATGGCGTGGATATAAATTAAATTAATTTCTTAGCAAGAATCAAATTTTCTTTCTAAATTGAATTATGTAACTATTTGAAGTAACAATTCGAATCTTCTACATCTCGACATCACACTCGCTGATTGTCGGAATATCTGACAGATGAGGGTAGAAAAATTAAGTTAATACAAAAAAAAATGAAGTATGGAGATAGATATTTTTGAGTAGATTAATAAAACATATTTATTTACTTGAACGATTTAATTTATGACGTTTGCTGATTGTTAACAAAAAGTTGACAGGCGTAAATAATTGTTTACAGTAAAAAAAACTTAATGAAGTCCACATTTTTTTCTTTTATATTATTATTTTAATTTAAAATACAATATTTATCAATAGTTACTATTTTTTAAAATCATCGAGATTTATTTCCTATTTATATGTATATATTGTATATATGAACAATTGTAGCTGTAACAAATTTCCTTCAATCTGGCAGATTGTATTATTATTTGAGTCTTTCATTTGGCATAATGACTAACTCCAATTTTAACACTTTATTTTTTATTTTATATTTTAGTGATATTTCTAAGAGGAAATAATAATTAGTGGGTTGAAAGGTGTGAATAAATGTATAATACAAAAAAAAATATTGAAAATTCAAAATGTTTAATATATTCTAATATCCGTTTTATGAGATGGTACTGATTTTAGTTACACACTTATTTACTATTACTACTTAGGTAGATAAAAATTATTATTTTAAGCAAGAAGGATACAATCATGAGAAATTTAAAATTCTTCAATTGGACAATAATATTAAATTAACAGATTATTTACTGGTTTTTATTTTTCAAAAGGTAATGTAACATCGCTAAGGACTTTTTCCACGTAAATTATTAATGAATATAAGTATGACAAGGGATATATATTTTTTTTCTCAAAGAACAGAATAATTTGGAGACATATTCATATATCCTTACTTACACTGATGATTTCTTTATATATTTGAAATAAAAAAAAAAAAACTGCAAAACCCACAATGATAAAATTACATAAACATAAAATGCCACTTCGATAAAAAATAACCTTTACGAGGTATTCGTTGCTTAATTAAGTCATATTTGTGTTGAAACTACAGAATACATTCATTCTATACTCCATGGTTGAAACCCAATGTACAAGCTGCGCCTGTCAGAAAGTGTAGGCAATTTCTGAATTTGTATTAGTTATGCGGGTAGGGTATTACAGAGCGCCTTAGTATTCCAACCCTCCTAGGCAACAAGAATGCCTCATGAATTTTTTTTTTCTTAACTTGTTAAGGCGTGCTTTGCACTTTTTTTGAGGAAAGTGAATGATACTAAGGCTCGAGTCGAATAATTAAAGTGTTTTGCATATGGATTAAAATAATTAAAAATCGGATCTGCAAACGGAAGCAAGGGGCATTTTCAGCATTTTATCACCTTTGTAATGAGCTATTTAAAAAAATTATATCTTAATAATAGGCATTGTAGGTAGATAAACAAAAAGGAAAAAATAGTGTCTAAAACCAAAATATAACGAGTTTTTTTGAGCATATGGATTAAAGTATCTCAAAAACTAAAATTTGGACCTGCATAATGTAAATGAGAAAAAAATTCAGCATTTCATCCTGTATATATTTAAAAATTGTATTTTCACGTTTTATCTTTTCTATAACTATGTTACATCAATTAAACGAGTCTGCCAATAAACAAATATAAACATACCACGTGGGAACCCCAACTGTATTACTTAAAAAAGATTTGAATTTCAATACGTTCGCCATACTTTTTTAATGAACTAGAATAATAGCATGAACTACAATTTTAGATACGGGGTTATTTACTTTTCTGCGTGTTAATTTATTTATATAAAATACAATTCAATGTATGATTTTATTGTTTTTTTTCAGATTTTATTAATGTTTTTTTTAATATGATGTTTTTATTTAATTTAATAAATTTCAGCTTCCAGATTTTCTGGAGACACGATAATGTTGAGTAAATAAACATGACTTCTAATGTATCAAGTTATTATATTCAGTCCTTTATCAAAATTACATTTTATATTATTTTTAAAAAAAATAAAAATATGTCGCTGTCTCGACTGGTTCCAGTAAATTTCGGGTTAGATGGACTGTAACCACTTGGAAACTCTTCTAGAGGAAAGGATTGAATCTCCACGCCTCCGGCCAATCGGAAATTTTACGTGCTCCGCAACTATCGGCCTCTCTATACTTAACAATAACACTATCTAACTGTGTTAATTGTTCATAGGTGTGCTCAAAAATGCAATTATCAAATAAAAATTATTAACTGTAAATATTCCAAAACTAAATGATAATAATTTCATTTTTGTTATTTTCTTCATTACAAACAGATTCAGAAATTCTTTATTTCCTAAAAAATACACGATGAAGAACTGTAGGAGTTTTCATTATAACTGCAGTATACGATATTTTTTCTTACCTAATAGCTTAAATCTTATTATAATCATTTTATGTTTATATTTACTTAAAGTATCGATTACTGCTCAGCTCAAAACAAATGAAAAACGGGCCCCTAATATTGTACAATCCTCTTTATTGATTGTTTAATTAAGCTTTTCCACCTTATAATATGATTTTCTCTTAGTCGCGGTAAGATACAATTTTGAATAATACGTCGTTGCAAAGAGGATAAAATACTGAATATTTCCCTTTCTTCCAGCATCCAGGTCCGAATTTTAGTTTATGAAATATTTTACTCCATATCTTCAATAAAACTATATATCAGTTGATTTT